AACATTTAGGGAGTGGGGGATGAGGGTGGTTACCTCCTGTTTGCCTGAAACCCGAGGCAGGGGCAGACCCAGGTTTTATGGAGCCTGAAATTTATACAAATGTTGAAATCACTTTTGTTAAAGAAAAAATTACTCTGATACTTGTTAACACAGACTGTTCAGGACTATTGGGATAGGTGTTAAGATACTGAAAGCAGGGAGAGAGATCAGGCTCAACTCTGAATAGAGCAAAGACAAGTAGAGGTTTACACCCAAAGAGCGTGGTGCAGTGGCAGGGGGCAGGGGGAATCTTGCCAGTGCTAAGAGGAAAAACTGCTAAGAGGGGCCATCAAATGTAGGGGATTCTTGCTAAAGCAACTTAACAGGATTCTTGCTGAAAGCAGGCCAGGGTGATCAGATAATAAGGGTGAGGGCTGAGGAATTTGATCAGATATCAAAGGTGATGAGATATCAAGGACTGAGGGGGCAGGGATTCTTCCTAAACTGGCTTAGCAGGATTCTTGCTATAACTGGGCCAAGCAGCTCAAGGACAGGGTCTAGTCGAAAAAAGGGCTTAGAGGAACCTGTCTAAAGTTTGAAACAGAGTAAAAACAAAGACCATGTGATATCTCAATAGATGCAGAAAAAGTGTTTGATAAAATCCTGCACCCCTTCATGGTAAAAACTCTTAACAAGCTAGGAATAGAATGAGCATACTTCAAAACAATAAAAGCTATATATGACAAACCTACAGCCAACATCGTACCAATTAGGGAAAAGTTGAAACATTCCCCCAAGAGCTGGAACAAGACAAGGGTGCCCACTGTCACCACTTCTATTCAACATAGTACTGGAAGTCCTAGCCAGAGCAATCAGGCAAGAGAAAGAAATAAATGGCATCCAAATTGGGAAAAAGGAAGTCAAACTATCCCTGTTGGCCGACGATATGTTCTTTTATCTAGAAAACCCTAAAGATTCCAGCCAAAGACTCCTAGGATTGATAAATGAATTCAGCAAAGCCTCAGGTTATAAAATCAATGTACACAAATCAGTAGCATTTCTATATACTAATAACAGTCAAACTGACAGTCAAACCAAGAACTCAATACCATTCCCAATAGTTGCAAAGATAATAAAATACCTGGAATATACTTAATCAAGGAGGTGAAAGATCTCTACAAGGAGAACTACAAACATTGATGAAGGAAATCATAGATGACACAAACAAATGGAAAAATGTCCCATGTTAATGAATTGGAATAATCAACAGTGTTAAAATGTCCATCCTGCCCAAATTTATTTAAAGGTTCTATGCAATTTCCATCAAAATACCAATGTCATTTTTCAGAGATCTAGAAAAAGTAAAAGTAATCTTAAACTTCATATGGAACCAAAAAAAGAGTCCTGATAGTCAAAGCAAATCTAAGCAAAAATAAGAAATCTGGAAGCATCACACTACCTGACTTCAAATTATACTACAAAGCTATAGCAACCCAGACAGCTTGGTACTGGTATAAAAGTAGAGACATAAACCAATGGAACAGAACAGAGAATCCAGAAATAAAA